AGAAATACCTTCTGTCTGGCTGAGGTCTGAATGGTTGGTGAGTTGGCTGGATGAAGACAGACCAGCAACTCCACTGTCAAAGCTGCCACTGGTGGTGGCCTGGAGCTGAGATTCAGCACTTTGACTCCTCTTCAGTGGCGTCAGCAGCTCCTCCTTGAAGGAAACAATGAAGAGGAGCAGGCAGGTAGTGTGACAGCGCCCCTTACCTCTTGCTGTTGGACCCCCAGAGACCCCATGCTTACCTCCCAGAAACCCCCCTGCAGCATCATCTGCTTCTTGGTCTCCTCCTGCCGCACCTGCCTGCTGTCCAGCCAGCTCACCTCGTTGGAGAGGACAGGCTTCAGGTCCATGGCCTGGTACAGCCGGTCCCCCACACTGTTGAAGATGGTTGCCAAAGAGCGAGGCAGAATCCCCCCATCTTGGGTGGTGCCTGCAGCAAGAACAGCAACAGAACCGAGGGTTCAGAGGCAGAAGACAGAAAACAACTCCTTCAACAGGTCCCTGGTGCTTTTCTTACCCTGAATTGTGTGAGTCTTCCCTGAATTGGTGATGCCATAGGTGTAAACCAGACAGTTCTGCCCACTCAGCACATCCTTTATCACCTGCTTCATTGTCTCATCAAAGAACAATTTCTGCCCCACCTCTGGTCCAAAAATCTACAAACAACACACAGGAAAAATGGCTTCTTGTAGATCTTTCTTGTCCTTTGTGATGGTTGCTCAAGTGATATTACATGGTCCTTTGTTCCCTGCACTAGCCACAAGCAAGAGACCCGCCAGCAATTCCAGCTGAGTCCCCTACAAAAATAAGTTACTAATTTCTTTAATCCACTAACATCTCGTATCACTGCAGCCTCTAGTCTGTTTAGAGCTCCATAAACAGGAGTTTGCCATTTGCTGCCAATAAAGAGTTGTCAGAAATAGCTTAGAAAGAAAAAAAAAAACTAATAAGACAGCAACTAAAACCTGAAGTAGAAAGAATTGTACAAGACTGCAGAGTTCAGGCAGTGCCTTGGGGTCAGTGGACAGGAACAAGACTGCTTTTCAAGCTGCAAAGCTGGTTTAAGCTCAAATCACTTCCAGATGGGTTGTTTGTCCCAGCTACCTACCCGGGTGAAGGAGAATCTGTGCACTGCTTGTCCTACTCCTCGCTCCGTGCTCCGCATGGTGAAGGAATTCTTTGGAGCTTTTAGAATAAGGGTTTCTGAGTTCTCAATACAGACACAGCCCTAAAGAACACAAAATCCATCATTGCTCTTTACAGGAGGATAGACAGCAAAGGACAACAGCATCTCCCAGCAGGCACATAGCCAGCTCAGACTCTGCTTCTTTCAGTGCCTCACCTGGTCTTCCCCCTTTTCCACTTCTGTAGATTTCAGAGGTCGAACTCTGAGGAAGACCTTTAATTTTCCATTATTGTCTTCAGCTACAGCCTGCAAGAATCAACACAAGTTAAATATGGCTGCCAGAGAGGCAGCACACAACCCCCCATGGGCACACTGAACAGGAACCACAGTATGGAAAACACATGTTGGCTATGCTGCTAGTGCTGAGGAACTCCTCTGGTCCCAAAATCACCACCAATGCCAGAAGCTTTCTTAGGCATTTCCAAGCACACCCACATTTATTTTGTTTGTTTATCTAATGGATCAGACCAAAAAGCTGAAGGCCTGACACCAAAACCAAGCATCAGCCCAAGAGGCACCTGCTGCCCCCTGCTCTCTCAGGAACTGCTCCCCTCAATGCAGCATTTTGTTCCTGCATTACACCACCTTTTTACAGGGAACAGCAGCCATGGGTGAAAACACTGCCCTGTTTGTGACAGAAGAGCTCCAACCTCACCTGAGAGCCCTCCAGGTTTGGGGAGATGACAGAGAACTCTGGCAGCAGGTCCTTACGCACATCAGCCCCAAACCCTGTTGCTGTGGACTCGAGCACAGGGGAGGCTGCAGCTTCATCATCAGAAAACAGCCCTGGGGAGGCAAGTACTTGTGCCATGGTGCCTCACAGGGCTCCTGGGGAAAAAGGGGCACAGGACAGGGCGATGTTAGAGCAATGCATACATGCAATCCCTGCCACATGCACCAGTCCCCAAAAACATGGATCCCCACATGGAACCCTCCCTACACACAGGATGCTGCTTCTAAATGTGCACATGTACGCACTCCCTGCACACGGGGAAACCACACAGGACCCCGGACACAGCCCGTGCACACACAAACACTGCTCAGAACTCCAAACCCACCTCCTGGACATAGAGACACCACAAAGTATTTCTTCATGCGCACAGACCACTTCTACACCCCTCTAACACACGGTACCAAACAGACCTAACGCATACACCAACCACCACACGGGACACCCCCAAACACGGAGCTCCACACCGCCTACACACACGCACACACCCGAGCACCACGCGGGACCTGGCCGCAGGCACAGGAACCCACCGCCAGCCACCCCTC